AGATGGAGACCCAAAACTAACGCGCGCACGTCTTCTCTCAATTCATGCGCGCCCTTCAGTCTCCCAGTTCTCAGTTCTCTCTCACTTCTCTCTCAGTTCTCTCCCACATTCTCTCTCACTTCTCTCCACATTCTTGCGTGCAACCTCTCAGTGACGGCCTTTCGAGAACTCTTAACTTCTTGCATTTTGTGTGACTTCTTAGCAATGGTGGTCGAAGGTGTTTCGAACGAGATAGGGACACCGAGGCCAATCTCGGAGACAATGCGGTCTTCAACCTCGAAGGGGGCAGAGGCAACATGCTAAACCACCGCTCGCATTGCTCTCACACTTGTTCTTCTGCTTTCGCCTCCCACACGTACCGGAACCCTACATCTACTCGGCCACACCAATTGCAATTGCATCGTTATTTCTCTTTATCTTTTTCATTTATTCCTTTTGTTGATTTTCCTCACCAGTTTAAATATTTTTTTTCCTTTTTTAATTCCGTGTAAACAAAAACCAAGTCCACTATCCTTGTGTATTTACGTATTTATTTTTTTTTTCATTTTCATTTTATGATGGACCAGCTCTGAAAAGGCATTTGGTGGAGTAAAAAGTGATATACTGGATTCTATTTTCATTGCACACCTTGTTAAGATTCTTAAGTCCTCTCCTCCTAGTTTACAAGAAAAATTTGCATCTGTGCTTGAGTTTGTGGCATTAACTGACCCAACTCTGGCCCTAAGTACACTTTTGGATATTAAATCTGGTCTTTGTTCTATTTTTCAACAAACAATTTTGAAAATTTCAGGTAAAGTTGTTCTATAATTTGTGATTTTTTAAAAGTGGTAATTATTTTCATTTGTTTGGTTTTTTTTTTGTTATTTTTGGGTGTGGATGCATAATAAGTACATTAAAGTGACTAAACATCATTATTTGGGTTTCAATAGATATGTGGTTTTTGATAGATGTGAAGGCAGGGAAAAGAGATGGAATTGACTCCCCATTTAATTGTTTTTATTATTTAATTATCTCCAACAATAACTCGTGTTTGATTAGCTAGTGAATTACCATGGGCATTTGCCATTGTTTGTTGATTCAAATTGGCATCCAATTATGTTCCCATTTTTTTTCTTGGTTCATATTTTTTCTTTTAGCCCAAATCCTATCTAATCTAAAACCTATTGTTATATTTTTAAATATGAGTCATCTTCAATTAATTAGTGAAAAATGAGACCTTATTGATGTTTTTCTTTGTTTGGAGGTTTATTTATATGGGTTTGTGATTATTTGCTTGCATATTTGTTGTGTTGGTTCTTAATAACGTCTTTCTCCATTCCCACCTGTCTGTTTAAGTATTTTAAATTCACCAATCATTTAGTCTTAAAGTCACCAATCCAGCCAGAAAAGTGAAACATTGCCACCTTCAAAACAACATTAGTTACAACATTTGGTAGTCAATTGTTTTTGAAAAGATTTCCTAGTTTGATGAGTAATAGTTCAAATATGCTATATGATTTAAACTTCCTGTAAGTTGATGGATTTTAAACTATTTGTCTACAATAATCTTTGGGATTCAAATAATGTAATTTATGAACATCTGCTTGTGTCGCACATATAGAGGATTAGAGGCAATCTAATAGAACATATACAAGAGGCAATGAAAAACAAAGAAACAAGGAAACAAACCCCAACATAAACAAATCCTATCTACACCATTGGAGGAAACCAACACGTACTACAAGAAAAATGATGAATTGCGACGGTTATCCTGAAACCGTCGTCGCTTTGATATTGCGACCCTTCATACGACGGTTTCTCTCGACCGTCGCAATCTACAAGACAAAAATTGAAATAAAAATTCACACAAAGTCATGCACACTCCATTATATAATTTTACTTTCAATAAAAAATAGAAAAATAAAATCATAATGACATGTAATTACATTTAGAAATGTTAAAAAGGAAAAAATACTTTAATATACTATATTAATTTTATTTCTCTATCTTTTAAATTATTTAAGAATAAAAAAGTTTGATGTCAATCCTAGGAAGCTAAAAATTAAAAAAAAAAATATGTTACATTTTTTTATGTATTAGTGAAATTAATAATACATCTTAATTGTAGATTAAATCGAGAATATTGAAAAACTAATAAATAATTTATGCAATTTATTATTTTAATATGATATACACAATTATCATCAAAAAAATTATATATAGATAAATAAATAAATAAATATATATATATATATATATATAAAATGTACTTAAATTCTTAAATTTATGATCAAATTAATAATAATAATAATAATAATAGTAAAGGATTACTAACTAGTAAGTAATATTTGCATTGAAGAGAAAGAAGGAGAGAGAAAGGGAGAAAGAGCGATGTCGGGAGCATTAGTGAGGCCTGAGTTTGTTGTGTTTGGTTCTTCCATTGTTCAGTATGGTTTTCACAATGAAGGATGGATAGCTGCTCTTTCTCACTTCTATGCTCGCAAGGTATGTTTTCTTCTTCTTAATTTACTTAAAACCTTAACATTCGTCTTAATATTCTTTTTCTTCATTTCTTTCTCAAAAATATCATAATGGGATATTTCAGTTATGCCTTCAACTTCAAGGAATGCTTTTAAATTATGAAAACGATCCACTTTAATTTGTTGACTCATGTAAATCTTCAAGTCTTACGTTGTTGAGTTTTGTGAGTGCCCTTGTTTTGGAATAGTCAATATCTCTTCTCCATAAACTTTTATTAAAACAATCAAGATCATTTTTAATTATTTATGAACTGAACTCTCCTCTGTAGCTGACTCATTACACTAAAAAAAATGGAAAGGAATGTTAATTTATAATACAATTCGTTGAAATTGTTGTACTCAGATTTGTCGTTTCCCAGAGTTTTTGGTCGATATCTGAATCTGTTGAAAGAAATGTGTTTGTTTTGGACTGTTGGAGACTTATTTTATTTAATTAGAAGAAGTAAAAGAGTTGGCACATGTAGTAGATCCGTATAATTTAGGGAAGGGCGTAATATGCTAAAATTCAAGAGATAAAGCAACTTGTTTAAACGTGGGACAAACCTTAAAACTGAAGGCAAAACTAAATTGTTTCGTAAGGTGCTCATCAATTGGTTAACCAGTGTATCAACTTGTAAGCTTCTAGCTATTGATTTTTAAGGATAAAAAATAATTGTTAATTAAGGAATGAATTTTGTTATATATTAATTGAATAATAGCATACATGAGCAACTTCTGACTCTTTTACAGACTTGGAACCTATGATTATAGATTTTAAATCACACATATAATTTTTAAGAAGGTTCATATTATTCTTTGAGTCGTCTCAACTCATTTGCTAAATAGTGAAGTATTGTGAAATAGAATCCTTGAAAAGAATAGCAACCGAATTTGAGACGTCTAAAAAATTTAATAAAATAAAAAATAAATATTTAGCAACTGATTTAGAGGCAGTTAGTGTGACGGGTGTTGTAAGGGTCGTAATTCCAATTTTGCGACGATTTGTGCAATGGTGCCAGTAATCGTCACAAAATTCACTCGTGATAGACATTTCTGCGACAGTTGGTGAACCGTTGCAATGGTGTCTTTGCGACAATTCTAACCGTCGCAATGTAGGTCATATAACTGTCGCAAAATCGTCATTTTCTTGTAGTGAAAATTGCAAGACATTCGAATTCATTGGGGGAAATTTCTTTTTAGAAAAATTTAGAAATAGACAATGTTGAAAGGTCTATATTACATGTAAAATTTAGAAATAGGTGAATGTCGCTTCAGCATTAGGCTACCAAGTGCATGTCTAATTTAGTGTGACCTAATTTTTTTGAGTTCTCTTCTCCATGTAACAAAAAAACTCTTCTTTATGGATCTCAGATTGGCTTCTCTTGATTTTTGAGTATATGGCTTCTCTAGTATTATATATTATATAATGATAATAATGATGTAATTGAGTCATTCTTATAATGATAAGGATCCTAGATTGACCTTTCTTAATTCATGATGGATTTTGATGTGAATAATTGAATCAGTTTTTACAAGTTATTTATAATTGAATCTGTTTTATTTTAAAAATTAAACTGATTAAAAAAATACAATCTACAACAATTATATGTAAAAATTGGCTTAGATAAATGTAAGTCGGTTTTTATTAAAAACTGACTTAGATGTATGTGTACATCTAAAACGATTTTATGAAAACTGACTTAGATGTATGTGTATATCTAAGATGGTTTTTATTAAAAACTGACTTAGATGTATGTGCATATCTAAGACTATTTTATTAAAAAATGACTTAGATGTGTGTGTACATCTAAGATGGTTTTTAGTAAAAACTAACTTAGATTAACACATACATCTAAGTCGGTTTTAAGGAATTGACGTAGATATGTTCATTCTTCTACGTCGCTCTCATCTAAGTCGGTTGTAGAATCGATGTAGATATGGAAAAATAACCGACTTAGAATACAATCCTTCTAGTAGTGAGGTTATCTCTAGTAATAACTCTACTGACATGTCTACAACATTTTTTATATTAGGCAACGCCTAAAAAAGTGTTCTCGAAATATGGAATAGGCAACAATTTTGTAAACTATTGGCACTTTGTTTGACAACAATCATAAAATTCTTCCCAAAAGCACATATAGGCAACACTTGATCAAAGCGTGCACTATTCTCTTTTCAATATTAACAAAACTGTTCTTGAAATATGAAACAAGCAACAAATTTCTAATCGTGGCCATTTCTCTACCCAACAGTTTAAAAACCGTTCTTAAAATTGATATTAGGCAACAATTTATAAATTATTGCTTATTTTATATCATGCAACACAATAAAAAATGTTCCCAAAATATATTATTAACCATGTTTATTATTAAAATAAAAAGTTTATTTTGTTAATAGGCAACACTTATAAACATTGCTTAATATTATACCCACCCTTTCGTATTCGCAGGAAATATTAATTAAAAAAATTAAACTTCTCCTTAAATTCCGAAAATATTAATTCACGGGAACAAAGGGCTTCTCGTCTCCTAAAACCAAAAAATAGAATCCCTAAAATTTTCCCATATGCTTTCTTCTCCGTGTGTTCTCGTCTCCTAAACGTTGCTCCCTATCTTCATCTTTCTCATCACGTGTAGCTAGTTGTTCTACGCTTGCTATTTGGGCACCTTTCAGGTATGATTCTCACCTTTTATTTGTTTCTCTTTGTGTGTGATTGCATGTTCACTTAATTGCATATTTAAGGTGTTTTTAGCATGGAAGGGGGAATTGGATTTTGGCTTTCTTAATGGGGAGTATCATGTGAAAGTGAGAATCCAGTTCAGAGAATAAATTGGTTTTTGTGTTGCACGAAGCCGAAAGGATTACAAGAATGTTGATCGCTAGTTCTTTTATTCCATTTTATTGCTTAAAGTGTGTAAACATATGGATTGATTCGATTGAGTCAACTATGGCTTAGGTTGTTGCGGCAGTAAGAGCTACAGGGGACTACCCAGAACGGGTGGGGGAACCCCCATGTCAGGTATCTTATTTTACCCATCCTTTAAAGATTTTCCATGTGAAGTCCAGAAATTGCTTCTTATCTTTTCAATTTAATGTGGTTATTGGTCTTTCTGATGAGCAGTATTATATCAAAACTGGAACCTGTAAATTTGGTGCATCTTGTAAGTTCCACCATCCTAAAAACAGAGGTGGATATTTAAGCCAAACTCCACTAAATGTTTATGGATACCCGTTACGGCCAGTATTAGTATTTTCTCTCTTAGGATGATACTTACTTCCATATCAATAAGAAATAAAAGAAAATTAAAAACCTTTTTATTCATATCAGTTAGAAGGAATAATATTTATTTAATATGTGAATAAAAAAGCTTTGTTATTTGTCACAGGTGTTGCAGAGGAAATTAAAACATAACAATTGTTCATCAGGTCAAGTTCTTTGTCTTACTCCTGGTAAGTTTAAGTTATTTAATTATTTTAGAAGTAATATATTTGATTTGGCTAAATTTTGCAAAGTATTTTGTTGTATTTTTTTTACCATGGAATATAAACTGCATTTTAAAACATGATTTTTAGGCTTGATTGTGATGTTTATGTTATTCCTTTGAAAGTTGTTTTTTATTTTGAATTTAATTTTAAAATTAATATAGCCCTTTTCTAAATCTTTCAGTAGCATAACATTAATTAAATTACTTAAAGAAATATGTCATTATGATTATTATAATATGTGAACTTATCATTTGGATTAGATTAAAAGTGATGGATAAAAAGTGGACAAAACTACCAAGGTTTAATAGAGACTATATCAATGGTGTTGAGTCATTCTTAGACTTTGCCTATAGTAAAGGAAGACCTCAAGGAGAAGAGATTTTATGCCCCTGTGCTAAGTGTGGAAATTGTTTTTGGGAAAAAAGAAATGTGGTTTATAATCATTTAATAGCTATCAGATTTGTGGAAGGCTACAATGTTTGGGTACACCTTGGCGAACGAATATCAAGGCCAATGGAAATTGACAAAGACATAGAAGATGAAGAGGACTCACGTGATGACATTGATTGCTTATTGTATGACACTTTTAGAAATGTGGTAGAAACAGAGGGAGTTAACAAAGGTCTTAATAAAGATGCTAGAAAATTCTGCAATTTGATTGATGAGGCAAAACAAGAACTTTACTCAGGATGTAAAAATTTATCTACGTTATCTTTCATAATTTGAATGTACTTGTTGAAATGTCTACATGGGTGGAGCAATGCATCATTCACTGCTCTCTTGGAGTTACTCAAAGAAGCCATTCCTGATCTAAATATTCCTGAATCTTTTAATAAAGCAAAGTCCATGATTAGAGACCTTGGCCTTGATTATAAAAAGATTCATGCATGTCGAAATGATTGCATGTTATATTGGGGCGACTATGAGAATGACAATTCTTGTAGATTTTGTGAAGCTTCACGATGGAAAGAATTCCCCCAAGTTGACAGTAAGCTTGAGCAACGAAAAAATGAGCACAAAGTTCCAGCAAAAATTTTGAGACACTTTCCATTGATTCCAAGGCTTCAAAGGTTGTTTATGTGTTCAAAGACAGCTAACTCAATGAGGTGGCATGAGGAAGAGCGCTCGAAGGATGGGAAGCTCAGACATCCTGCTGATGGCCAGGTGTGGAATGACTTTGATAAGCTTCATCCTGAGTTTTCTTCCGAGACTCGTAATGTAAGACTTGGCTTGGCTAGTGATGGATTTAATCCATTTAGGACTATGAGCTTATCACATAGTACATGGCCTGTGATGATGGTGGTATACAATTTTCCACCATGGATGTGTATGAAATCTGAGTATATGATGTTGTCTTTACTGATTCCCGGACCTCAGTCTCCAGGAAACAATATCGATGTGTATCTTCAACCGTTGATTGAGGAGTTGAAGGAATTATGGGAATCAGGAGTAGAGACATATGATGCTTCAAGGAATCAAACATTTCAAATGCATGCAGCTCTTTTATGGACAATTAGTGATTACCCTGGGTATGCTATGTTGTCTGGATGGAGCACAAAAGGAAAGTTGGCATGTGCATGTTGCAATTATAACACTTTTTCAATCTATTTGAAGCATAGTCGAAAGATGTGTTATATGGATCATCGTGTCTTTCTACCTATGGGTCATGTTTGGAGGGCTAATAAGAGTGCTTTTAATGGAAAACAAGAACATAGATCTGCACCAAGTTTGTTAAGAGGGGAGGAGATATTAGAAATCTTAAAAGATTTCAACAATTTATTTGGGAAAACCAAAAGACAAAAAATTGATGCCCATGGAAGAAGAAGTCAATTTTTTTTGAGTTGCCATATTAGGCTGATAATCCATTACGTCATAATCTTGATGTAATGCATATAGAAAAAAACATTTTTGATAATATTATTGGGACTTTATTGGATATCGCGGGCAAGACAAAGGATCATATTAAGGCTCGTTATGATTTGCAAGAGATGGGCATTAGAAAGAATCTTCATCCAATTGATATTGGTGGAGGTCTTCTAATATAACATTAATTCTTTAGTGATGGCATTTAAGTGAGAAAGACAAATTGATAGAAATTGATAAGTTGAGTAAAAGTGACATGAATTTGAGTTTTGTTCTTGAATATTCAGCTCCATGATTGTATCACATAAACATCCATGCATCAGATTTCTAACCATGATTAAGAGCATTTTCTTTTATGATTTTCACAAAATTAGTAATCATTTTTTTTTCTTGTCTTTTTTCTATGCTACTTGTATGATGTTCTTAAAACAAAAAAATCTGGATTAAACATAAGCTTTTTTCCTTAAAAGATATACACGTACTATGGTGGTGGCTAAGGCGGAACCATAAGAAACCTTTACAACTAACATAGTCTTTAAAGAAATTTTAGGAATATACTGTTTTAACATATTTTATAGATAGATTAGAGATTTATAAGGTTCTTTTATTTTATTGGACAGACAAATGGTAGTAGAATAATTATTAGGCTGTTTTATATATGCAAATGGATTGATACCTAGACAAATTTTATGTTTTGTAATTGAGCCTATGTTGAGCTTTTATATATGTGTGTTTTTATAATTGTCTTGTCTCTAGTTTAGCCTAACTCAAATTAGGCTAAGACTTAAATATTAAATAAGTCATCAAGTCAAGATTTTATTCCTTCATCTGCTAAATATGCTTAATTTGTGGTTTTACTTTATAGATGGATCAAACTTTCTTGCTAACCACCCTGAGTTGGTGCTTTCTTGTTTGAGGTTGTGTTTTGTTGTCATATTTCACATTTTTCATTTATATACTTCCTATGAATTTAAATATAAATAATAAAACATATTAGACTTAAATAGAATTTGAATCCTATTATCCTTATTATTACCTTAAAAGTGAATAGGAAAATAAGAAAGCAAATTCTGTTATCGGAACAATGGAAAAGTATTAGTGTTTTCTCTCTTAGGATGATACTTACTTCCCTATCAATAAGAAATAAAAGAAAATTAAAAACCTTTTTATTCATACCAGTTAGAAGGAATAATATTTATTTAATATGTGAATAAAAAAGCTTTGTTATTTGTCACAGGTGTTGCGGAGGAAATTATAACATAACAATTGTTCATCAGGTCAAGTTCTTTGTCTTAATCCTGGTAAGTTTAAGTTATTTAATTATTTTAGAAGTAATATATTTGATTTGGCTAAATTTTGTAAAGTATTTTGTTGTATTTTTTTTTTACCATGGAATATAAACTGCATTTTAAAACATGATTTTTAGGCTTGATTGTGATGTTTATGTTATTCCTTTGAAAGTTGTTTTTTATTTTGAATTTAATTTTAAAATTCATATAGCCCTTTTCTAAATCTTTCAGTAGCATAACATTAATTAAATTACTTAAAGAAATATGTCATTATGATTATTATAATATGTGAACTTATCATTTGGATTAGATTAAAAGTGATGGATAAAAAGTGGACAAAACTACCAAGGTTTAATAGAGACTATATCAATGGTGTTGAGTCATTCTTAGACTTTGCCTATAGTAAAGGAAGACCTCAAGGAGAAGAGATTTTATGCCCCTGTGCCAAGTGTGGAAATTGTTGTTGGGAAAAAAGAAATGTGGTTTATAATCATTTAATAGCTATTGGATTTGTGGAAGGCTACAATGTTTGGGTACACCATGGCGAACGAATATCAAGGCCAATGGAAATTGACAAAGACATAGAAGATGAAGAGGACTCACGTGATGACATCGATTGCTTATTGTATGACACTTTTAGAAATGTGGTAGAAACAGAGGGAGTTAACAAAGGTCTTAATAAAGATGCTAGAAAATTCTACAATTTGATTGATGAGGCAAAACAAGAACTTTACCCAGGATGTAAAAATTTCTCTACGTTATCTTTCATAATTCGAATGTACTTGTTGAAATGTCTACATGGGTGGAGCAATGCATCATTCACTGCTCTCTTGGAGTTACTCAAAGAAGCCATTCCTGATCTAAATATTCCTGAAACTTTTAATAAAGCAAAGTCCATGATTAGAGACCTTGGCCTTGATTATAAAAAGATTCATGCATGTCGAAATGATTGCATGTTATATTGGGGAGACTATGAGAATGACAATTCTTGTAGATTTTGTGAAGCTTCACGATGGAAAGAATTCCCCCAAGTTGACAGTAAGCTTGAGCAACGAAAAAATGAGCACAAAGTTCCAGCAAAAATTTTGAGACACTTTCCATTGATTCCAAGGCTTCAAAGGTTGTTTATGTGTTCAAAGACAGCTAACTCAATGAGGTGGCATGAGGAAGAGCGCTCGAAGGATGGGAAGCTCAGACATCCTGCTGATGGCCAGGTGTGGAATGACTTTGATAAGCTTCATCCTGAGTTTTCTTCCGAGACTCGTAATGTAAGACTTGGCTTGGCTAGTGATGGATTTAATCCATTTAGGACTATGAGCTTATCACATAGTACATGGCCTGTGATGATGGTTGTATACAATTTTCCACCATGGATGTGTATGAAATCTGAGTATATGATGTTGTCTTTACTGATTCCCGGACCTCAGTCTCCAGGAAACAATATCGATGTGTATCTTCAACCGTTGATTGAGGAGTTGAAGGAATTATGGGAATCAGGAGTAGAGACATATGATGCTTCAAGGAATCAAACATTTCAAATGCATGCAGCTCTTTTATGGACAATTAGTGATTACCCTGGGTATGCTATGTTGTCTGGATGGAGCACAAAAGGAAAGTTGGCATGTGCATGTTGCAATTATAACACTTTTTCAATCTATTTGAAGCATAGTCGAAAGATGTGTTATATGGATCATCGTGTCTTTCTACCTATGGGTCATGTTTGGAGGGCTAATAAGAGTGCTTTTAATGGAAAACAAGAACATAGATCTGCACCAAGTTTGTTAAGAGGGGAGGAGATATTAGAAATCTTAAAAGATTTCAACAATTTATTTGGGAAAACCAAAAGACAAAAAATTGATGGCCCATGGAAGAAGAAGTCAATTTTTTTTGAGTTGCCATATTGGGCTGAGAATCCATTACGTCATAATCTTGATGTAATGCATATAGAAAAAAACTTTTTTGATAATATTATTGGGACTTTATTGGATATCGCGGGCAAGACAAAGGATCATATTAAGGCTCGTTATGATTTGCAAGAGATGGGCATTAGAAAGAATCTTCATCCAATTGATATTGGTGGAGGTCGTGCAAAGTTTGTAAAAACATGTTTCTCAATGACTTCAGAAGAGAAGTCTACTTTTTGTGGTGTTTTCAAGGGCAGTAAGTTACCAGATGGTAGTGCATCAAACATTTCAAGATGTGTGCACATTACTGAAAGGAAAATATCTGGTTATAAGAGTCATGATGCACATTTTATGCTACATTACTTACTACAGATAGCAATAAGAAGCACAATGCCAAATGCAGTGGCTCATCCTCTAATTCGTCTTGGTTGTTTTTTTCGCTCTTTGTGCCAAAAAGTTATCCAAGTCCATGAGCTAGACTACTTACAAGCAGAGATTGTAGAAATACTTTGTCAATTGGAGATGATTTTTCCTCCTAGCTTTTTTGATATAATGGTTCACTTACCTATTCATCTTTCCAATGAGGTTAAATTGGGTGGCCCGGTTCAATTTCGGTGGATGTATCCTATAGAAAGATATTTATGTAAGCTCAAGAGTTATGTTCGTAATAGAAGCCAGCCAGAAGGTTCTATTGCTGAGGGGTATTTGGCTGAAGAGGCATTGACTCTTTGCTCAAGATATTTACATAAAAATGTGGAGACAAGGTTGAATAGAAAGAATCGAAATTATGACAACAGTGATTTGTGTGAAGTAGATGCAGCTGATTACTTCACAAGTATTGGATGTCCTTTAGGGGGGAAGAAAAATGGGGAACCATTTGCTTTGGACTTTCAATCTACAGCCCAAGCCCATCGATACATCTTATTCAATTGTGAAGAAGTTCAAGTCTATATCCGGTGCGAGAAGTTCTCATTTTCCATCTATTGATTATCTCTAAATTATTTCATTTTATTTTTATACTAACAAATGACATTGTTGTCATTGTAGAGAGCATGATGATAGTATTAATAGTCACACTAAAAAACGGAAGTGGGCTAAGGCAAAAGTGCAGAGTCAAGATTTTAGTGAATGGTTTAGAAATCGGGCCATGAAAAATGATGTATCATTTCAGCTCAAAGAATTGTCAAGAGGACCAAATACTATTGCAAAGAGGTTTTCAGGCTACCTCATTAATGGATATAGATTCCACACTATGAAACGAGATGCAAGAAGAAAAACTCAAAATTCTGGTGTGACATTGGTTTCGTTAACTCCTAGTTTTGCAAGCTCTAAGGATGAAAATCCCAAGATAGAATCTATCCCTTATTATGGAGCAATTACTGATATCATTGAGTTAGATTATTATGGCCACTTCAATTTTGTGTTGTTTAGGTGTGATTGGTTTGAGGTTGAAGAAGACAAATATGGACTTATTTGTGTACACTTCAACAAAAGATGTTATCAAGATGATCCTTTTGTGCTAGCTTCTCAAGTCCATCAATGTTTTTATATCCAAGATCCTTTTAATGAAAATAGGCATTATGTTATGAAAACAATGCCACGAGATGTATTTAACATGAGTGAGCAGTTGGAGCCAAGAGGTGTAAATGCACCAAATGATGATGGTGAATTTAACTGGGTTAGGGAAGATATACCCGCAACAATCATCGAGAAACCTTTGCATGTTATGCAAGAAGAAGAATATGAAGAAGAGTCTGATTTTGATGACACATTGTTGGACTTCATGGACTAATGGATACACAGTCTTAGAGGACTAATTATTGGACTTCATGGACTTCTGTTACAGCAAGGACTGACCTGTTTCAAAATAAAAACTGGTACAGCATGCCAAACTATAAAATTCTAAAATTTTAATTATGAAAAGCTTAGTGTCTTAGCTTTCTAACAAAATTAACCCCATGCTATTTGGAGACCTAGAGCTCAAGTTATGCAGTAGTTACTCTTTGGTGTCTAAGAGAGGATGTGTACTCTGTTACAGCAAGGATTGACTTGTTTTAAAATAAAAACTGGTACTGCATGTCAAACTATAAAATTCTCATATTTTAATTATGAAAATTTTAGTGTCTTAGGTTTCTAACAAAATTAACCCCATGTTATTTGGAGATCTAAAGCTCAAGTTATGTAGTAGTTACTAGTTGGTGTCTAAGGTTGAATGTGAAATCTGTTACAACAAGGACTAAACTATTTTAAAATAAAAACTGGTACTGCATGACAAAACATAAAATTCTAAGATTTTAATTATGAAAATTTTAGTGTCTTAGGTTTCTAAAAAAATTAACCCCATGCTTTTTGGAGACCTAGAGCTCAAGTTATGCAGTAATTATTCTTTGGTGTCTAAGAGAGGATGGGTACTCTGTTACAGCAAGGATTGACTTGTTTTAAAATAAAAACTGGTACTGCATGACAAAATATAAAATTATAAAATTATAATTATGAAAATCCTAGTGTCTTAGCTTTCTAAAAAAATTAACCCCATGCTATTTGGAGACCTAGAGCTCAAGTTATGTAGTAGTTATTTTTTGGTGTCTAAGAGAGGATGGGTACCCTGTTACAGCAAGGATTGACTTGTTTTAAAATAAAAACTGGTACTGCATGTCAAACTATAAAATTCTCAAATTTTAATTATGAAAAGCTTAGTGTCTTAGCTTTCTAACAAAATTAATCCCATGCTATTTGGATATCTAAAGCTCAAGTTATGTAGTAGTTACTATTTGGTGTCTTAGAGAGGATGTCGAATCTGTTACAGCAAGAATTGATCAGTTTTAAAATAAAATCTGGTACTGCATGTCAAAATATAAAATTCTAAAATTTTAATTATGAAAAGTTTAGTGTCTTAGGTTTCTAACAAAATTAACCCCATGCTTTTTGGAGACCTAGAGCTCAAGTTATGCAGTAGTTACTAGTTGGTGTCCAAGATTGAATGTGAAATCTGTTACAACAAGTACTAAACTGTTTTAAAATAAAATCTGGTTATGCATGTCAAACTCTAAAATTATAAAATTTTAATCATAAGTAGGTTAGTATCTTATCTTTCTAACGAAACTAATCCCATGCTATGTGAAGCTCTATAACTCATGTTATGCTGAAGTTATTGTTTGGTGTCTAGGAGTGAATGTGTAATCTGGAACAACAAGCATGAGTACTATCCAATAATTATATTTTTCATTTTGTAGGTACAAAACGCAGAAGGAAGGAATTTTAAAGTAAAATATGAGTACTACAAAAAAACGTGAGAAAGATATCTTCAATTTGGAAGGTGAAGTGAAATCAAGTGCTGAATTACTTGGGAGATTTCAAATTAAGCGTGAAAAGGTATTGGGTAATACTAAACAAAGCAAAGGAGTTATGACTAAGGTCCAAGGAACTAATATCAAGAAAAACAAGCCACCAACTACTACAACAGTTACATCAAAACCTAAAGGGTTTGATAACCAAATCAGAGGGCGCAATCAAGGTACTTTTAGCATTGCAAACCATTCAACAAGTGACCAAGGAGAAGGAAAGAATGTAAGTGAAAAGAAGCTTCAAAAAGAGACAACCAACGTGCAAGGAAAGAAAACACAAATTAAAGATCCAATGAAGTTATCAATAGAGGCAGCCAACATGCAAAGCAAGAAAACACAAATTCAAGTTCCAAAGAAGTTACCAATAGAGGCAACCAACATACAAGGCAAGAAAACTCAAGTTCAAGTTCCAAAGAAATTTCCAATAGAGGTAACCAACAAAAGGAAACTAGTTGAATATGCTGGGTCACATGGAAGGCAGCCCATAGAAAGGGCAATGGCTGAATGTAATGAGGTGCAAGAAAATGAGCCCATAAGAAAGTCAGTGGCTGAACATAGTGGATCACATGGAAGACAGTCTGTGAAAATGGTAGTAGCTGAAAATAATGACTCACGTGAAAATCTCCAAAACCCTCAAAAAAAGACAAGAAAAGTCTCAATGTGTCCAGCTATGTTAATTGATCAGTTCCTTCAAGAAAATGTGGAGTTTGGTCAAGAAGAGGAGGAGCGAGATGCAAGTGAAAATGAAGAACTCATGGAAGAAAATGGTCATGAAGAAGAAAATGCACTAGAAGATGAAAGTAGTAAGATAAATGGTTATATAATTGTTTAGTCTATTCTATTTTGCTATTCTTTATATATATCTGTAACCATATTTGCTATTATCTTTCATGGCTATTATGATAAACTAGGTACATGTAAGAAAAAAACAAGAGGGCCAACACGATGTTTGAAAATACATGCAAGATCATTCGAAGAACGTCAAGGAGTTACCTTAGATGATGATGGAGAACCAATTGGACCCAAAGACAAAGTAGTATCCGACTTGAGTTATTTCTTAGGCACTGTGGCAAGGAATCCAAACTTTTGCCCTTTAATTTATACAAACTTCAAAGGCTTGACCATGGATGAAAGAGAACAAATATGGGATTTTGTTAATGTATGTGAAAAGTGATAGTAAATTTAATTTGCTAAATGGTTAATACTTATCAATGTTGATAATTATATTTCTATTTTACAAGAAAAATTCATTATTCCTGAGAAAGGAAAAAAAGCAATATTTGCTCGCATAAATGATGCTTGGAGACGCTACAAGAACTACATCAAGAGGAACTATTTTTTGAAATACTCAACTTTGACAGAAAGGCTGCAACATCGTCCAAAGCATATACCTGAAAATCAGTATAAACATTTGATGGTTTATTGGAGAAACAGTATTGTCCAAGTAATTAAGATAATTATATTTCTATTTTTTTTTTTTTTTGTTTCTACCTGTTTTCATTGTTGTTGCTCTAGGCTACTGTTACTAGTCTCGATTCCTATTCTAGTTGGTATTTATAGTTGTTTTTTATGTTATTAATTTTCCAAATGGTGTATCTAGTTCTTTTTGGTTGTTGATTCTGAATACCAATTATGGTATTTCTGCTATTTTGGATTATTGTTTCTACTATTTTTTTGCTATTTTTTGGTTGATGTTACATTTTATTATTGAACTTAATTTTTTTTTCTATGCAATGCAATGCAGAATATAAGCCAGAAAAATGCTATCAATAGGGCAAAGCAGAAATACATTCACCACATGGGTCCTACAAACTTTGCAAGGATTCGTGCAAAATTGGTATTATATTTATGTTTATATGTGCAAAACAATAAATTCTTGTACCTCTTATGCATTTCTTATTATTCAATCTCTAATTTATGTAGCAAGAAAAGAAGAATGGAAAGGATGTTTCTCAAGCTGAAATGTCCATTGAGACTCGTCAAAGTCGAAAAGGAAAAGAGGTGGATAAAGATACACAAATTGTGATTGTAACTCTACTATTTCAATACCAATTTTTTAAAGTAGTATGTCTTGATTGTATTTTAACTATAATGTTTATTTTCTTATAAATTAGACAAAACTTCAAGAATCAATCCAATCCTCAAGTAGTGAATCTGCTGAACAAGCTTTTCAATCAATCTTTGGCAAAGAAAAACCCGGTAGAGTTCGATGTCTGGGAAGAACGATCACACCAAGTATGTTAAAGAAAAATGAAGAAATTGTTGCTTTAAAGAAACAACATTCTGTTGAGATAGGTTCAATGGCTAAGACAGTTCAAGGATTACAATGTCTTGTAAGATGCTTGCTAAAGGAAATCAATCCAGAATTGAATGACCAAGCTTTGGATAATATAATGGAGAATGCTATAAGCAATGACAATAGTGTAGCACCTCCTTCTTCTGCCTCAACCCATAGTCCTGGTCATGATAAGGTATAATTTATGCCTTTGTCAAGTTCTAAATTATATTTTAATTCATTTCATTTGCATATACCAAACCAGTTATGAAAGTTTTCTTGAGTATAACTAGCTTTAACTTATGTTAATTGTTGGACATTGATTGAGGATTAATTTTATAAGTTTTCTAAGTGAAAAAATATATTTATATGCAGGAAAGACTTGATGATGAAGATCAACCTTATGATGATGAAGAGATTTTGAATGATGTTATTTACATGGATGGATGACTAGCTATGCATAATATTCCTAGATGACACTTTATTTTGAAATTTAGAAATTTTATGTAAACTTTGACATCTTTGGATGATTTTATTTGGAGTTTTATGCTTTTGAATTGTCATATACTTGGAACTAATTAATGCAAGTGAATTTTACATGTGTTTGGATTTCATTTTATAATTTATTTTATTATTTTTTGAGGATGAAATCAATTCTTTATTATGATTATATATATATATATGATTTCACAAGATAAACTAAAATATATATATATATATATATATATATATATATATTACATTCATAACCATTTAAAAATAGTATATGGTGAATATTATTGACTAAATAATGGTGTGTTATTACCAATATTATAAGTCAATATAAAAATAATCGTTGCATGTTTATTTAGACAACATTGTCAAAATTGTAGCTTAAATTTAGTCTAAATTGTTGCCTATATTATCTCATAGACAACCTTAAAAAAAATTTCCTAATGTCACTAGCAATGGTCATAAAAGTGTTGCCTATAAAAAAAGACTACATTTCTAAAATCGTTCTTTAAAAATTTATAGTGTTTCCTTAAATAAATAAAAAAATCATTGTCAATGAAGACCATGAAAATCGTTCCAGGAAGTTTAGGTAACGGTTTTTTTGACATCGTGGGCATAGGCCAAAAAACCATTGCATATTGGAATAGGCAACGTTTGATAAATCCACGCTTGACAAACCGTTGCCAAACAATTCCCTAAACTTTCAGGAACGGTTTTTTGGCTTTCAACAACGATTTTTTATTGTTGTCATAGACAACAAATGTTGTAGTTACTACTTCGAGTAATTCTCATTGGTTTTTTGATTCTGCCTGTTGTAATCATATGACCACTGATATTAAATTAATGCCCTCCGCATCACATGTTTCCTCTCTACCACCAATCCACACAGCTAGTGGAAATAAAATGAACATCACTCATATTGGTCAAGTATCCACCCCCAATCTCACTCTTACTAACAAATGCTACTCATCATTCAACTCGGGTAAGAGAACCTCCTCAATATCTTACTGATTACCGTTGTTATTCTGCTATTGTAACTCTTCATGATCCCTCCACTTTTCGTGAAGCACATACTAACCCCATTTGGCAGTAAGCTATGTCTGAAGAAATCCAGGCTTTAGAGAAGACTCATACTTGGGATCTAGTTGATCTCCCTCCTAATAAGATCCCTATTGGTTGTAAATGTGTCTATAAAATTAAGACTCTTTTTGATGGAACTATCAATTGTTACAATGCTCGACTGGTAGCCAAAGGGTATACTCAAGAGTATGGGATAGACTACGAAGAAACATTTGCTCTGGTGGCCCAGTATAACATTTGTTCGTAGTCTCTTGGCCATTGTTGCAGTTCATAAATGGAAGCTTCTTCAGATGGATGTCAAAAATGTCTTCCTTCATGGTGATCTAACAGAGGAAGTTTATATGCATCCTCCTCTTGGCTATCATTCTCCTAATAAAGTTTGTAAGCTTTGACGGGCCTTATATGATTTGAAACAAGCACCTAAGGCTTGGTTTGACAAGTTCAGTTCTACTCTTACAAAAATTGGTTTTCTTTCTAGCTCACATGATAATGCCTTGTTTACTCGACGAACTAAAGGAGGTATTATAATTCTGCTGCTTTATGTTGATGATATGATAATAACTGGAGATGATCAGTTTGAAATTTCAGCATTACAAAGTTATCTTGGTCAACAATTTGAAATGAAAGGCCTTAGTATGCTTCACTATTTTTTGGGCCTAGAAGTCTCCCAAGACTCAACAGGCTATTACCTCTCCCCAGCCAAGTATGCATCTGACTTACTTTCTCGGGTAGGTATCACAGACTGAATCAACCCCATTGGAACTCACCTGCAAACTTCCACCTCTTGATGGCATTCCTCTTGAAGATGCCACTTTGTATCGACAACTTGTTGGTAGTCTTGTTTATCTCATTGTAACTCGCCCTGATATTGCATATGTTGTTCATGTAGTTAGTCAATTTATGTCTGCTTCTCGATCATCACATTTTTCTGCAATTCTTCAAATTCTCTGTTATATTAAAGGAACCATTTTCCATGGCTTGCACTTTTCTGCTAATTCATCTCTGGTCCTGTCTAGATATTCTGATGCTGATTGGGCAGGCAATCCAACAGATTGTCGTTCTGTATTATAGGTTACTATTTTTTTTGGGAAATTCACTTATTTCTCGGCATAACAAGAAGCTTCTCGCTCTAGCACAAAACCTGAATACCATGCTCTTACTGATGCTACTTCTGAATTACTTTGGTTACGATAGTTATTAATTGATATGGGTGTTGCACATCCTTCCTCCACTAAGCTTCATTGTAATAATAAAAGTGCTATCCAGATTTCTCACCATGACGTCTTTCATGAGCACACAAAACATATTGAAATTGATTGTCAACTTGTGCGGCATCACGTTACCAATGGTACCATACAATTGATCTCTGTTCCATCGGTTGACCAAGTTACTGATGTCTTCACTAAAACACATCAACCTACACTACTAGAAAAATTAAAATTAGAGAGGGAACAAATCGGCCAGAAGTGGTCAACAATACTTATGTACTTCATTTCATACCTAGTGGAACCTTTCAGTTGAAGGAGACTAGACGTAGCTTAGTTGAGCGAACCAGTATAAAATGACTGCTTTTCTTTTCCTGTTTTATTAGGAACAAATCTCCTTTACTGTTTAAATCTTTGTGAAAGACTTCGTCCAATATTTACATATCGTTAAAACCATTTCTCAGACGAAGACGCAATTACGTTTAATATATATATTACACTGAAAAGATTTATCTATTGGTTGTCTTTAAACGAAACTATCTTGAAAAGGAAAATGTAAGAATCCTAATAACTATTACTATAAAACATTTTCCTTAGCAAATGATAGACCCTTTAGACGTATTGGCCTTGTGTTGACAAAAATCTGCATAACCGTCTGATATTCAAAAGTGCATTGAACGAAGTACATTACTCTTGCGAAATTAGTTTTAAAATTCCTTGTTCACACACACATATTCAACCCCCCTTCTATGTGTTTTTGCTAACTTCAATACACATAGCAGTTTTAGTAAAATTGCGATCCCCACTTCGTTTACCATTGGATCGGGCTAGAAATTTGACATTAGTTTCTTAACACGGTGATCTTTGTTTTGACCGTTGGGATCATGCATTAGAGGTCTGTGGTTGGAGAAATAAATTTCCTACAGTTGCTCTGATTTGAGGTTTCTTCTTCTTTATTCTTCAGTTAGAAGGGTTTGTTGCTTTAACATATTGGCTGGTTGTAAGCATCTTTTTATGCATTTGATTAGACTCTCTTGTACCCTTATTTGATCATAGTTGAGCTTGATTGACTCGCTTGTGCCCGTGGGTTTTTACTTCTCACATGGAGAGGGTTTTCCCACGTTAAAAATATATGTGTCTCTTTGTGATTATTTTCTGCCATTTATTTATTTTGTTGCTCCTCATTGGTTTTTGCAAGTTTGGGAAATTATTTCCGCTGTGTACTTTGGTACTTTTCATTATTGTGTTGTCATTTCCCCTATCATAGTGGCATTAGAGCTCTTTGGTTTGGGGCTGTATTTACTTGCTTAAATGATGGAGGCAAATACAAAAATGGTTCCTTTGAATGGTACAAATTATTATTTGTGGAAGGGTAAGATGAAAGACTTTCTATTTGCAAAGAAAATACATCTTCCTGTCTTTGCTACTCAAAAGCTGGATTCCATGTCTAAAGAAGATTGGGACTTTGAACACCAAAAGGTGTGTGGTTTTATTTGGAAATTTGTAGAAGACAATGTTTATAATCACATTGCAAATGAGACACATACTAGAACTTTATGGGAGATGAATGAGTCCTTGTATGCTTCTAAATTAGGGAATAATAAATTGTATTTGTTGAATAGTCTGATGAATTTGAGGTACAGGGAGATTTCTTCCATTTCAGATTACTTGAATGAATTTTAAGGGCTCCTAAATCAGTTATCCGGAATGGGTATCAAATTTGATGATGAAGTTTTGGGACTATGGCTACTGAATACTTTACCTGAGTCTTGGGAGACATTTCAAGTTTCTATTACCAACTCGGTCCCTAAAGGTGTTGTTTCTTTGCAAGCAACAAAAAGTGGTGCCCTTAATGAAGAGATGAGAAGGAAGTCACGGGGTTCTTGATCTCAGTCTGAGGTGCTTATCATAGAAAATAGGGGGAGAAGTCAGAAAAAAGAACCAAAGGGTGGTAGAGAGAAAAGTAGGAGCGAGTCCAAGTCAAGATACAAGAATGTGGAGTTTTATTATTGTAATAAACCTGGGCATATCCAAAAGAATTGTTTTCTATGGAAAAAGGAGAATAAAGGCAAGAAGGGTAAGTAGAAAGAGAAGGATCATGATGATGATGATCGTGTTGCTACTGCTACTTGTGGTGATCTTGTTATTCTTAGTAACCATGGGTTAATTAATCTTGTATCAGATGAGAGCATGTGGATTGTTAATAATGGTGCTATACTGCATGTTACACCAAGGAAGGAGTTCTTCACATCTTACACTTCTGGTGATTTTGGAGTGTTGAAGATGGGTAATGATGGTGTGTCTAAAGTGATTGGTGTTGGTGATGTTTGCCTGCAAACCAACATGGGAACGCATTTGTTGCTTAAAAGAGTCAAACATGCTCCTGATGTTCATTTTAATTTGATCTTTGTGCATATACATGATGATGGTGGTTATGATAACCACTTTGGCTCTGGAAAGTGGAAACTCACCAAAGGTAACTTGGTTGTGGCTAGAGGGGAGAAAAATTCTAAACTGTATTGGACTAAAGCTTTGGTTGCTAAGGATAGTGTGAATGCTATGTATATGGAGGCTTCTTTGTGGCACCGAAGGCTTGGTCATATCAGTGAAAAGGGACTTAATTGCTTGGCTAAAAAGAATGTGCTTTTGGGATTGAAGAGTGCAGAGTTGGAGAAATGTTCTCATTTCATGGCTGGTAAACAAACCAGAGTATCCTTTAAGAAACATCTTTCCTCAAGGAAGTCAAAGTTGCTTGAATTGGTGCATTCTGATGTTTGTGGCCCATTGAAGGTAAAGTCATTTAGTGTTGCACTTTACTTTGTTACTTTTA